AAAGACTGAGCTGATGAACCATCCTGTTAAAATACCAGAGGATAAAATGCAGCATGTGGAAGAAAGGTAGCAGAGCAGTGGTGTAGTCCAGGGTATATGCAATATATACGGCGTATACCCATTTATTTTTCTATCAGCATTGCTTTTCCCCCTTTCTAAATCCCCCTTCATCCGCACTATCAAGCAGAATCTTTGAACTAAATTTTAAATTTAAACTAGAACAGCGAAGGAATCACCTGGGCTACCCTGCTTCTTATTGGCTAGTATTCACTGCTTTTACTGAACACATTGGTTAACCAGTGAGCCAGGGTGGGTCATGCTGACATTAATATTGCTCACATATTAAATAACATTCAAAAGTTTACTTTAATTGATTTGTCTTTAGGATTAGCAAAGAATCTGTACTATGAAGCTAGCTCCTCAAACAACACTTTCATTTCCTACTTACAAACGTCCTCCTGAATTAATATCAACATTAAAGACATTTCATCCCAGCGCTGCGTGTCCCGAGCCTGTGACATCATCAATGACCCCTCACCCCCCCACCATGGAGGCTTCACAGCATTCAATGCAGGACCAGCAGGTTCTGCAGCAGCTTCTTCCCCACCGCCATCACACTGAGGAACTGTCCCACACTCTGCATCACACTGATGACACCAAACCAACAATACTGCATATTTACACCATAGATAATAATGCTCTGAACTTCCAGATCAATGTTTTTTTTTTTTGCACCATGTTTTTTTCTCCCACACTGTTTACATTTGATCACTGCTGCACTTTATAGATGCTGTCAGTGAAGATGAACGTGTCTCTTCACCCTTAAAGATGTCGGTACAACTTTGGAAGATGACAGCAGCTATTTCACACACCCACTCACATCTAAGGAGGATTTAGAGAAGTCAATTAACCTAACAGTCCTGTTTTTGAACTGTGGGAGGAAGCCGGAGTACCCGGGGAGAACCCATGCATGCTCAGGGAGAACATGCAAACTCCATGCAGAAAGACCCAGGGCCAGGAATCGAGCCCAGAACCTTCTTGCTGCAAGGCAGCAGTGCTACCCACTGCGCTGCTGAGCAGCCCTCTAAAATATTTAAAGATTTATTTAAATAAATCTTTAATTAACAACAGTAACCCCATGTTAGCCTGATGTGTGTTTTCTCTCCATGCAGGCTGCCTGTGTTTCCAGTAAAACCATCAAATTGATCCTGAATCAGTTCGTTTTAATAGCAGCAGCACTAACTGCTGCCAATCAGCTGTTCAAAGAGACAGTTTATTAAAGGAAGTAGTGACTCGCTCAGAGAGAGAATAGGTGTCATCCATGTGGATGGACACAGGAATCAGGAATAGTTCACTCAGCATCCATCATTATCTCTAGTCTGTGTGCAGCGTTTAGTTATTTCATCATCCTGTCCTAGCCCAGACCAAATAGCATAAATTAGATGACACTGAGTGAATACTACGAATTATTATTTGGATAAACTATATAGAGCGGTCTGACATGTCCTTGTTTATGGGCTGCACTTCTCCAGGGATCATTACACTTTTGCATATCTGCCCTTTGCTTTATCACCTTCCAGGATCTCCAGGCTACACAGCTGATCAGCAGCTAAACCAGGTGGCCACAAACTTCTTAGACCGGATCAAAACTTCTGCTGCATAAACGCTGCAGCTCACAAAGCACAACACAACCTGGAACGCAAAGAGTCTGAAACCTTCCTGTGAGTCTGATTTAAAAAAACACAAATAAAAAAAATCTAAATATTTAACTTAAATATAAAAAAAAGAAACCTGCACCCAAATAAAAACAGAAATGTAAAAGAAAACCTAACTTAATTCAAAAGAAATAATCAGTAACTTAAATATATATATGAAGGCAATTCAAATCTTTAACTCAAAGAAAATGAGATGAATTTGAAATTGGATTAAAAAAAAGTAATAATTTTAATTTTATAAAAAAAACAAATCAGATTATTTAAGAAATCTGGGTTAAAAAAAAGGGAAAAAAACACACTTTTAACTGAAAAGTGCAAAAACAAAATCTCTAAACTGATATAAAACAAAAAAGAAAGAATAAAAATCTACAAATAAACATAAAAAATGAATCTGCAGCTGAAAAATCAAAGCTGTTTAGTAGAAGTGGATCCGATTCTGCTGGTTCCTGGAACACGAGCAGCAGCTTCCTGCTTCTCAGCCTCTGTGCCAATGCTGTTGCCACGGCAACCAGTGAAAAAGATGCTTGTGAGGTAATTTCCAGTCTAATAATAACTAATGGCAGACAATGAAGCTTCCCTTCTCCAACCAGGATGGATCCCAACAGGCTGCCGCTGGGCCGCTGTGGTTCTGCTGGGTTCTGTTGGGTTCTTCTCCATCCAGTATGGATCCCAGCAGGCCGCTTCTGGGCCGCTGTGGTTCTGTTGGGTTCTGCTGGGTTCTTCTCCATCCAGTATGGATCCCAGCAGGCCGCTGCTGGGCCGCTGTGGTTCTGTTGGGTTCTGCTGGGTTCTGTTGGGTTCTTCTCCATCATGGATGGATCCCAGCAGGCCGCCGCTGTGGTTCTGTTGGGTTCTGTTGGGTTCTTCTCCATCCAGGATGGATCCCAGCAGGCCGCCGCTGTGGTTCTGCTGGGTTCTGTTGGGTTCTTCTCCATCATGGATGGATCCCAGCAGGCCGCCGCTGGGCCGCTGTGGTTCTGTTGGGTTCTATTGGGTTCTTCTCCATCCAGGATGGATCCCAGCAGGCCGCCGCTGTGGTTCTGTTGGGTTCTTCTCCATCATGGATGGATCCCAGCAGGCCGCCGCTGGGCCGCTGTGGTTCTGTTTGGTTCTATTGGGTTCTTCTCCATCCAGGATGGATCCCAGCAGGCCGCCGCTGTGGTTCTGTTGGGTTCTTCTCCATCATGTATGGATCCCAGCACGCCGCCGCTGGGCCGCTGTGGTTCTGTTGGGTTCTATTGGGTTCTTCTCCATCCAGGATGGATCCCAGCAGGCCGCCGCTGTGGTTCTGTTGGGTTCTTCTCCATCCAGGATGGATCCCAGCAGGCCGCCGCTGTGGTTCTGTTGGGTTTTGCTGGGTTCTGTTGGGTTCTTCTCCATCCAGGATGGATCCCAGCAGGCCGCCGCTGTGGTTCTGTTGGGTTCTTCTCCATCCAGGATGGATCCCAGCAGGCCGCCGCTGTGGTTCTGTTGGGTTTTGCTGGGTTCTGTTGGGTTCTTCTCCATCCAGGATGGATCCCAGCAGGCCGCCGCTGTGGTTCTGTTGGGTTCTTCTCCATCCAGGATGGATCCCAGCAGGCCGCCGCTGTGGTTCTGTTGGGTTTTGCTGGGTTCTGTTGGGTTCTTCTCCATCCAGGATGGATCCCAGCAGGCCGCCGCTGTGGTTCTGTTGGGTTCTTCTCCATCCAGGATGGATCCCAGCAGGCCACCGCTGTGGTTCTGTTGGGTTTTGCTGGGTTCTGTTGGGTTCTTCTCCATCCAGGATGGATCCCAGCAGGCCGCCGCTGTGGTTCTGTTGGGTTCTGCTGGGTTCTTCTCCATCCAGATTGATCCCAGCAGGCCGCCGCTGTGGTTCTGTTGGGTTCTGCTGGGTTCTGTTGGGTTCTTATCCATCCAGATGGATCCCAGCAGGCCGCCGCTGTGGTTCTGTTGGGTTCTGCTGGGTTCTGTTGGGTTCTTCTCCATCCAGATGGATCCCAGCAGGCCGCCGCTGGGCTGCTGTGGTTCTGTTGGGTTCTGCTGGGTTCTTCTCCGTCATGGATGGATCCCAGCAGGCCGCCGCTGCTGGGCCGCTGTGATTCTGTTGGGTTCTGCTGGGTTCTTCTCCGTCATGTATGGACCCCAGCAGGCCGCTGCTGGGCCGCTGTGATTCTGTTGGGTTCTGCTGGGTTCTTCTTCGTCATGGATGGATCCCAGCACGCCGCTGCTGGGCCGCTGTGATTCTGTTGGGTTCTGCTGGGTTCTTCTCCGTCATGTATGGACCCCAGCAGGCCGCTGCTGTGGTTCTGTTGGGTTCTGCTGGGTTCTTCTTCGTCATGGATGGATCCCAGCACGCCGCTGCTGGGCCGCTGTGATTCTGTTGGGTTCTGCTGGGTTCTTCTCCATCATGTATGGATCCCAGCACGCCGCCGCTGGGCCGCTGTGGTTCTGTTGGGTTCTGCTGGGTTCTTCTCCATCATGTATGGATCCCAGCAGGCCGCCACTGGGCCGCTGTGGTTCTGTTGGGTTCTGTTGGGTTCTTCTCCGTCGTGTATGGACCCCAGCAGGCCGCTGCTGTGGTTCTGTCGGGTTCTGTTGGGTTCTGCTGGGTTCTTCTCCATCATGTATGGATCCCAGCAGGCCGCTGCTGGGCCGCTGGGGTTCTGTTGGGTTCTCTTGGGTTCTGCTGGGTTCTGCTGGGTTCTTCTCCATCATGGATGGACCCCAGCAGGCCGCTGCAGCCTCAAAACATGTCAGGTTTCGACGCACCTGAACGTTAAACCAGCTTTTCTGCGGGTTCGGTTGGTCTTTCTGTCCCTATCGTTTTCCGATCACTGAAATGCCAGACCGCACGTTTCCCTGGACAACATCCAGGGGGCCTGGTAACCATGGAGACGCCATCGACCATCTAATTAGCTAATCCTTGTTGTAGGTTAAAACAATGGCATTAAAGCGGGGTGGGGTCGTATGTTCATCATGTCTGACATTACTGTAGATCCCACTCAGCCTGACGTGTGATTTAATGCCCCCCCCCCTCTTGGAAAGCATGAACAGCTCTATGAAAACACAGCATCCAAACAACAAGCTTTGGCTGCAGGCGCTGGCATGGCAGACAGAGACAGAGAGACAGAGAGGAGGAAGGAGGCAGAGGGGGATCTGCTGGGATGGAGACAAAGACGCCCTTTGAGGGGAGAAGAGAAATCAAAATGAAAGTAGAGACGCGGATGGATTCAAACAGCAGCCGAGCAGAAACGGTCTGCGACACGATGAAGGTGAAAGGAGGCAGAGCGGCTCTGCAGCACTCACCATGTCGGGGTTGATCCGGGCTAAGATGGCGAAGGTGGACAGTCTGTCACACACGCATTTGGTTCTGAAGGAGTCGACGAGCACAGCTCTGCAGCCCCTGGCAGACCAGGACCCCAGCAGAGACGAGCTGCACGGAGACACAGGGGGAGGGGGTGAACACAGGCAGCGGGAGGAGGAGATTCACATCCAGCGCGTTCACACCGGCTTCCTGATCCGTTTCCCCGCTCTGCTGAGCGGCAGGATGCAGCCGGACCGGAGCAGAGCGGACCGGAGCGGAGCGGCTGCTTCCGGCTTCAACTCATTATTATGGAAACACTGCAGGGATGTTATTCACACATTGTTCACTCAGCAACTTTTTTTTTATTATAAACAAATTTGGATAATAATAATAATAATAATAATAATAATAACTATTAGTGAATTGGAAGAAACACCTAATTTGGCCTCAGTTTGATCCACATGCAGAGCAGAAATGATGTGATTGTTCGGGAGCAGGCAGGAGTGAGGAAGAGGAGCAGTGATGCTTAGAGAAGGTCAGCAGACCCAAACAACATCAGCGTAGAAACATCTGCTCAGTTTGAACATGAGCCTAGCAGGTCAAACCTTATGACACAGTCTAATGGTTTAACAGATAACAAATATTTATTTACCTCCCAGATTAAACAAACAATATTGTTCATATTCAATGTTACACATCAACATTAACAGTATTTGAATCCCAATAAATCAATTAAATTCAGTTTATTTCTATGGCTCCAATTCACATCATGTCATCTCAGGTCACTTTCCAGTTCAACCAGATCATCCAGTCAGATTGATTTAGTTTTCTATCTAAGGAAAACCAGCTGATTGCTTCGACTCATTGACTCTTCAGCAATCCCTCACACTAAGCATGCTTGTAGCGACAGTGGAGAGGAAAAACTCCCTTTGAACAGGAAGAAACCTCCAGCGGAATAAGAAAAACAGAGTTTACCATAACCTCAGATATTTATCCACCCAACCCAACTCCAACCTTGCCTGGGTGCCATTCCGAACTTAGTCCCGCCCACAACGTTTGAGGTCGGGAATTTCGGTCTGGCATTGCTGAACAGTAGCGCGAGTATGCTCGCACAATATCTGGCGGGCCAATCAAATTGTCAGGGCGGGCTTTATACGATGATGGACAGATGATCAACAGTAACGTAATCAACCACGTGACCAAAGCGCGCTTGGGTGACAACAACAATGGCTGCCGCTGGAGAGTTGAGGTGAGTAGATTCTGCTATTAGGTCTGTTCTAGAAGATATCGACAGCAAATTAATTTTAAAAGAGGAACAGAGAAACGCGATCAAGGCTCATCTTCTTATTCTAGGCGTGCAACTGCACGCTTTGATTTTTGTTGACAACATCTATGCGTCGCTTAACATACGTCACGCACTCCGTTGCTCTTACTGGTTGGAGGCATTTTTTTTGCTGGTTCGTTCGAAACACGCCCCATAATCACAGCTCTATGGAGCAGTATCAGACTCATTCTGACTAGAATTGAGTAGGATTATGTCAGGCTAACTCCAACCCCCACCAAAAAGAAAAATTTTTTTTTTTTTATTACTCAAGCTTTTGGAACATTTTTGGTTCAACATATTTTATTTGAACTTTATCCTTAAAATAGGGAACTTTTTAGGCAGGATAAGTTACTAATAACAAAGATCTTCAAAGGTCAAATAATGTCCCCCTTGACTTTGTTTTCAATGTTTAAAGAGACGTTTCTCTTCCCATCCAGGAAGCTTTTTCAATTCAAAATGTCTGGATTAGCGTTTAGTTCCAGGCTTTTATAGAGTGGACCAACCAAAGCCTTGTAAAGGCTTAGAAAACGTGCACATTGAAACTGGAAAACCAGCTCCCTCCGTTAATAATGGGAGTCATTGAGGTTGTTATTGGCCTGCATTACCAGATGCTGGCCCATTCCTCTGAAAAGGCAGTCGTTAAGGCTCATTGTTGGCCTGGCTGACCTGGGGAGATATCTTGTTCCCCTGCATAGCGATGAGGGTGGAGATGGTATAAGGAAGGAATCAACTCTATCGCTGCTTTGTAGGTTTTTGAAAGCTAAAATCTGAGTCCACCCCCTCTGTTTACAAAATATCTCGCCAGGTCAGCCATGCATGGGGCATCACTGAGTTGCCATAGCAACAGCAGCTTTCCTTTCCCGTTGGAGCGAAGAAGCCGTCCCCCATTAATAGCCCCCACCTCTATTCAAGGCCTCTTTCACAGCTGGCAGTGAGACGTCATTGGGAGGGACACTGGATAGTGATAGTGCTTAGTGGATGGTTTGGGATTGGGTCAAAGTGTTCTGGTTCTGGTATCAGACCAGTTTGGACCAGTAGGTCTAGAAGTCCTGGAGTTTCTGTTAAAGACCAGGGAACATTTAGCCTCTAGATTAAAGGACCAGAAACATGTCTGATCAGGTCATCAGTAATAGCTCCTCTGCTAGTGAATTTCTGAACACTGTCTTGGTGAATTCTGGTTATTTTGAGCCTCTTAGGATTCATGAAAGTTTTTTCTGATGAGGATTTTCTCCATCTTGTTCCTAAAAGTCTCATTTTTTAACCAGGAATCCTGCAGCTCATGGTCAAACATCCAGTTCTTCTAGATCAGGGGTCGGCAGCCCAAACTGTTTAAAGAGCCATATTGGACCAAAAAAACAAACAAAAATCTTATCTAAACTGTAAAAGTCTTCTACAAGCCTCATATGGAAACATGGACTCTAAATGTATTAGCCCACTATAAAGAAGGACTATGTGGACTTAATTATATAATAAGCATTCATGATTAATTTTTATCCTGGAGCATGAACGCTCTCACCGCGTGGAATTAACTGGATGCCGCTTCATCGCGCAGTTTAGGTTTTGTTGCCTTGATGAGATCATAGAAACAGGATAAAGGAATCTTTCTATGTTGGACGCGTTTCTGTTGGGAGGAGCTGATGGAGTCATAAGGGACCAAGCAGGAATAGGGTTAGGGTTAGTTAGGGGGGTGGGTGCGGCGCTAAAGAGCCGCTGGTTGCAGACACCTGTTCAAGATGGACCGCAGTGGCGAGGCTGTCTATTACAATCATCAGTCTTTGGCATCTTCTCCAGGAATGTATGGTCCATTCCTCACAGTCATGTGTTCATGCATCCCATTCACTTCATTTATTGATCCCAAAGAGAAAATAATTGTTTTTTTTTTCATCCATTGTTATAGATGTTGATGCTGAAGACCCTCTGTTGGTGTCTAACAGTCTGATGAAGAGGATGCTCGCTGCTGTCCATCATCTTCTTCATCTGCAGAGGTTCTAGAGGAGTTCCCAGAACAGAGCCAGCCTTCTTTATCAGCTGCTTGAGCTTCTTTCAGTCATCAGCTCTGATGCTGTTACCCCAGCAGAGGATGGAGGCAGAGATCAGACTCTCCACAGCAGACTGATAGAAGATCTGCAGCATCTGAAGGACCTAAGCTTCCTCTAGAAGTCCAGTCTGATCTGTCCCTTTTTGCAGTTGTGTCTCCAGTCCAGGTTGTTGTCCAGGTGAACACCAAGGGATTTCTACTCCACCTCCACTTCTTCTCCCAGGATGTTAACAGGATTCAACTTGTTCCTGTTTCTTCTGAAATCTTCAATCATCTCCTTGCTTTGTTGACCTTCAGGATCAGATGATTGTTTCCACACCATGCCACAAAGCGCTTAAGCAGAGACCCATTCAGTCCATGCCTGCCGGCCTTTTTTTTTTTTTTTTCCCCTTTCAGGTCCTGCTCAGGATGGTTATTAAATCCTCTAGAAATCAGACCCAACTGGAAGGAGGGGATCTGACAGCCTGGTTTCTTGCTCATCCACACCACACTCTCAAAGGAAAGTCTCTGTCCTTTTTGTTCAGCAGAACGTTTTTTCTATCCCCTCCATCTCCATGGTTGGTTGTGTTTGGTGACGGTGTGTTCTCGTGGTCCAGCAGAGCAGATCAGGCTATAACGAGGAGTAGCTGATCCATTCTGGTCAGATTGATCAGTTACTCTTTGATAAGGTAACCTTCTAGGTATTTCTGGGTCTATGCTGAAAGTAAGACTTGATTAAAACAGGGAAGAGGGGTGTTCTGATCCACTTTGAGGAGCGCTGCATTTAATGGAACGTTCTGGCCTTAGACTTAAACTAAGACAAACTTTATTGTTATTTCTATTATCCAGCTTTCCGACATGGGACTTCTCCACCTTCAGGATCAGGCTGTTATCTCTGCTCCACCAGCTGCTCCACCTCCTCTCTGTCGTTGTCGTCTCTGATGAGGCCCACCACCGTGGCGTCGTCTGCAAACTTCACCATGTGATCGGTGGTGAACCTGGGGACGCAGTCGTGCGTCATCAGAGTGAACAGCAGGGGGCTCAGGACGCAGCCCTGAGGGGAGGGGCTTAGACTGATAACATCAGAGGTCCGACCCGGACTGACTGAGGTCTGTTGGTGAGGAAGTCTAGCAGCCGATAGCAGAGGGGTGTATTGAAGCCCAGCTGTTCCAGTTTGCCCATCAGATGCTGTGGGATGATGGTGCTGAAAGCTGAACTGAAGTCCAGGAACAGCATCCATCGTGGGTGTTCTTCTCCTCCAGGTGTGCCAGGCTCAGGTGGAGCGGTTCCGTCGGTAGGCGAACTGGAACGGGTGGAATGTTGGCGGCAGACTGGAGACGATGTGTTCTTTAACCAGCCTTTGGAAGCACTTCATCATGATGGGAGTCAGAGCGACAGGCCGCTAATCATTGATTATGGATTGGTCAAGCCAGGTGTTAAAGATGTCTCTGAGGACACCAGCCAGCTGATCTGCACACTCCTTATACATCTGCCCAGGTATGTTATCAGGCCCTGAGGCCTTGGTCTGGATCAACTCAATATAGTCTGCTGTACACAGCGAAGAATTAACGCAAAACAATTTTTATTGGACTCTGAAGCCAACAGGACTTCCAATGATGAAGGTCTGATGGAGACGGGTCAACATGACATCACTGACAAGCGTAACTGTTTTTGTGACAATCAGAGAAAAAAACTTTCTATTCCGTACCATTCTATTCTATTCTTTTCTATTCTATTCTTCAACAGCCCAGAGTAACGTCTGTTTAGCTACAGCAGGAATCAGCAGAA